GAAATCTGGAAATTCAGGAAAGGTAAAGATCCTGCCTAAGGTCATTACAGGTGCAAAGTCACAACAAGATCCTGTGCTGTCAATACTTGTAGTCACCCAAAACTGAGGAACAGATTGTGAGCCTGTTTGTGTGTCTGACACATTTGTACAAGTTGGGGCACTAGACATCGTAATTTGCCTACAGCTAGAGACGATCTGATCCTATACTTCTGAGAAGGGAGTGTTCCAGAAGCCTCCTGAAATGCCCTGGTCACCCTCATGACTGTAAGTCCTCCCTGAGCTGATGTGCCAGCATACAGTAGACCATCGGAAAATCTTTTATTATTAATGTTGTTGCTGTGATTGATATAAAATGCAATCCATGAGTAGAAATAGGAGATGAATCTTCCAGTGGGGAAGAAACAGCGTGAATGAGGAGGGTAGAAAGGAGGAAGAGGGCAGGATCAGAGGAGTGGATGGATTTGGAGGTGGGGAACAATTTGGAGATCAGACTGGAGGGGCCATGTAGCCACTAGGGAAAGACCTTAAAGGTCAGGCCGAAGAACTTGCCAATGGGGAGCCATTGCAGGTCTTAGAGAAAGGAGTTTATGAGAGAAACCATTTGACTGCTAATAGAACATTTGACTGCAAGCTCCTCCCAAGGAAGACTTACTGGATAACTGTGGGAAACTACATTTCCAGCAGAAAAGGAGACTCTGGCACCATTTGGGAGTGTCTTACCACTCAGGATAAGAGAAGACTAGGTCTTTCTAATGGGCTAATGACCTTCAGCCCCTAAAGATGCCACTGAGGAAGTGCCACCCCTCGCCTGGCACAAGCCCAGAGCTGGGAAGCACCAGTGACAGGGAAGCCAAAGAGTGAACCCATCCCTGGTCCAGACTGTCCTAGAGACATCAAACTCCCAGGATGGCTGAATTGTCCATCAGCAGATAAGGCAAATTTGTCTCAGCTGCAACTCCATGAGGCTGTTCATCCACTTCTGTCACTTACTCAAAGCCCCTCTTGAGACCCGTACTAACCCCAGAAATGTGCAAGAATGGGGATTCTAGAGATGGAGTTTGAGCTTAGCTAAGTGACATGACACAAACCCACAATAATCTATCTCCTGCTACCTCAGCACCCCTTTATGCTTTTGCATCAGTAACATCCAAATAAAGACAAGAGCAGACACATCTTTCTGCCCAGAAGGATGCAGCCATTCCTTACCTGGATACACCACGACCACGAGGATAGACAAGCCTTTAGTCCACCCTGAAGTGGTGTTCATTTCTATTACAATGCAATTCTAATCGTCACAGCCACCTTTTGATAACTTCTAATTTAAGCTGTGAGATGTAAGATTAACACATGAACTAACTTTATGCAAAAAGTTGGGTCACCCCAGGGGTTGGGACTCTAAGACTACAGTCATTCACTGGCAGAGAATGCCAGCACGTGTCTGTAAGGTAAGTCCAGATCGTCATGCCCAGTGAACTGGTCACAGGGAACTTGCCCATGAAGTCATGCGTACAGGGTAGGGGGGAGGAGGAAGCCATCCGGCAGGTGTAGGGCCCGTAGCATCTGGGCTCTTTGCCTTCAGGACCTGTTCCAGCCCAATCCATTTGGTGATGGAATCACTGCTGGGCATGTCCAACTTTGTGCCGTGGAGGGGCAGACAGTGAACACACAGTTCATTTTAAGTAACTCAAGTCACATCATAACTCGATCACCCAAATACTCTGTCTGTTCTAAGGCCAATCATCAAGCCAGATATGTTTCGGACATGGGCCACAGTTTGCTCTCAGATCCCAAGGGTTGGCCTCCTGTGCAATAGCCAGAAGCCTGTCCAGCTCCTACGCAGTGTCTACAGCTGCACGCATTTGAAGCAACATTGGCTCTTCCAGGTCACATGGCATGGCCCAAATGGCAGAAAAGCTTGTGTGCCTTTTCTTGCAGGGCCTGGACCCCATTCAGCTGGCAACCATTCAGGACATAAGTTGGAACAATATAAACAGAAAAACCGCAAGCCACAAGAAATGCAGAGTCTTCACTGTGTGTCTCTGTCAGTGAAGGGAAAGGCCGGATGCTTATTATTGTCCTTCTTCTTACAAGAGACATCTCAGCACCCCCTCAGGACCCAGCCCCTCTAGAAATGCAGTGGCGGCAGCAGGCTCCCGTATTTGGGGAGATGTGATGTCCTGTGGGGGCAGAGATGATCGAGGTCCCCATGGAATGGATCATGATCAGGTCGGAGAGCTGATATCGCTGGGCAATAGGAAAGAGGAAGAGGATCCCGGGCCTCAGAAGCTGACAGCGAGGGCTTCTGACAGTTTGACTAACAGCTATAGAGAAATGGTCATTCTGTGGGTGAACAGTCACAAAGCAGGGGACACGGGAATGTGCTGATTTGCTCTAACAGCAAAACCACTCCTGGAACAGTGAGGCTTAATTAGTTAATTAATTAGGAAAATCTGGCCTGGAGCACTGGTGTGCCTGCCTCAGTCTCCCGAATACTGTGATTACAGGCCTGCACTGCCACGCATGGTGACTGAGACGATTCTTACTCTGCTTTCCCCTATCAGCTTCCATCATTTGTCTGCCCAGGCAGGCAAGGAAGCTTTCATGTCACTCAATCAGGTCTTACGTGAGAACTGAAAGCCTGGAGCTTGTTATTCTGCTAAGTTCTCCAGTCCCATAGTGCTTTCTGTTGTCACTGGAATGCTTGATGGCATCGATTCCCTGGTCACCCAGCACCAGCAGAGGCAAAGCCCTTGTGTAGGGATGTGTGATCACCTGTGTGATGGGTTAAGTAACTGTCTTATCCCTGCAGCCCATGGACTGTCACTGTCCCCTTTACTGCTAAAAGCCAGTCTTTAATGCCTGTAATCAGATAAAAAAGCCAAGCCCAGCTCACTCAGACAGGCACAAGTAAGGAAGCCTGACCTCCAAGTTCTGTTCCTTGGGAACCATATTCAAAACAAATCCTGTGTCATTAGGTGACTTAGGCAAAGGCAGGAGCCCTGTCTATTGAGACACGCTGATGTGAGGATTGAAGCTAGGCAGGCAGGAGAGCTTCCTTAACATGTATGAAGTTCTTTCTCTGCAGCCTGATGTTTACAGGGCAGACAGTTGGGAAGGGAGGGTGGATGTGAAGGGTGGAGAGCAAGGATAACTGGGAACCTGCAAAGATGGGTGCTATCCAGAAGGTGGACTAAATTACATGGGCTTCCACACTTCCGAGTCCAGCTTGGCTGTTCTGCACCACGAGGAGGAACTGCCTCCCTCACCTACAGAACAAATGCACACACCTGGCCCAGCATTTGGAAAAGCCAAAGGAGGAGACCCTGCAGGCTCACAGTGGTAAGGCGAGCCAGCTTGTGACAGCATGTCCCAGCTGCAAACAGATCTGCCTGGCTCTGACGTTCCAAGTGCAAGAAGCATCTCAGCTGTACTTCCCTTCTGCCTTCCAATGCTTGTACACACACCTCTCTGGCCCCAGTAACCCAGAAGTTTGCAGAGAAAGGAATTCTGGGAAATGGAGCGTAAGCTAGTTACACCATTGGAATTTACCACACCCATCATGAACAAAACAAAATGTGTTTTTCCTCTGAATCTGTCTCAAGCCCTGGCTCAGGTTCCCAGCTCCCTCATGTGATGCCATCTGTGCCACGGTTTTGAAATCCGCCAGTCTGCTGCTTCCTCCCAACCTGTTTTTCTTATTACCTATGTGGCCTTCAGCAAAGCACCTTAGCTCCCTGAGGTTCTCAGCTCCTGCTGTAGGGATGACACCTGCCTCAAAGGACAGCTGGTGACATCTAGGTAGTACAGGGCACAGAGGAGGGGCCAGAACACCTGCTACCACATCGGCTTGTCTTAGCTCTGTTCTCACCAGCAGGTCTCCTGCTTGACTCCTTTCTAGTATGGGGACAGTTGTGAGCGACCCACCCCCCACCACTGATATACATGTGCTTGCACAGAACAATCACATGTGTCACAGAGTCACATTTGAATTAGAAGCCCAGTTAAGACACAAGCAAAGGGCTGATAGTTATAAGGCCGGCTGTCCACAGAGTGTGTGCTTATGTTCTCTGCTGGCTTTTAGACAAAGATCTGTCTAGGGAAGCACATGAAAGCTGCTTCGTATTGTTCAGTGTCTCTCTTAAGAGGAGCCATGCAACTTTGGGAGGGATAGTGTCTCTGATGCGCCCCTGCTAACCAGGGATCCATGAATCAGACAGCCCAGGAGTATTTCCCCGGTGCCATTTACAGCGGTGAGGATGGGCTTTTTGGAATTTCCTCCAGGGAAGAGGAAGCCTAGAGCCTCACAGACTAACTGCTCAGGCACGGCCTCTGGGATCCAAACAAGCAGTTAGGACAGAGAGGAAATGAAGCTGGATCTCAGCTGGAATCTAGAGACAATGCTGAAGGTGGGTGGGGAAGCCCTGAATTTCCATTTTTTTCTCTTCATGAGCTAGAGTTGAACACAGTGTGACTTAGTGGGCAAAGCCCAGGGTTTATAGTACAGCCAGGACCGGAGGTCTAATCTGACTTTTCCTGTTGATGTGCTCTGTGACTTTGGGAAATTCCCTTGATTTCCTTGGTCCCCAGTTACCTAACTAGACAAATAAAGGTTCCCCACGGTCCTTCCAGCTCAACCACAGCTATGTGTTTTTATTAGTCAGACCGCAATGTTTCCTTCACAACCTCACAGCATCCCCTGCTGGTCCGAGCTGCCTGGATACCAGCTCTGAGCTGGGATCCCTGGTGACTGGGCAGGTCCAGAACTTACCCACAACAGCCTGTCCAGCCTGACACTGAACCCTGATGGGAGAACAGAGAAGCTTCCCCCCGCACCCCCGCCCAAGCCACTTCCTATCAATAAAAATGCTACAATGGACAAAACTGGATCTGGGAAATAGCTTTGATTTTTAAAAATTTCATGAGCAAATTGGGCCATTTGAGCTCCATGCTATACTGTGTTGTTAAATATAGCACCGAATCTACATCAAAACACTTGCATATTCAGGGTAATCTCATAATTAAATTTTATTTAGAAAATGTTCAATGCTGAAGGCTTTTAAGTATAGATCCCATTTATCATAGGAGTTATTTTTAGGTTTGTCAGCGTAAAGAAGCCAAATATCCTTTCTTGGAAAGGATTCTCTTTTGTTTTGGAATATGACCTTTCTGCCTGTAGTCTTGGTATCAGAACGCCCTTCCTTTTGTAAGCTGATAGATGAGTTGGGTATTTAAGTGTCCTTACTTGGTAAAAATAAACCCCACAGTTGAACCCTAGATTTAAGAAAAAGTTCTTGTGTAATGAAATCCCAGAACCTCAGCATCCCCTGTACCCACGTCAAGGCGGATGTTAGAAGTCTCACTTTCCCTTACAAGGAACAGTGTCTTTTTCAAAGAGATTGAAAGTCAGAGAAGTTCAGTGATGGAGCCAAAACTGCAGCACAGGAGAAGCCATCTGGGATTCGATGTTGCCCTCTCTGGCCTAGAAACCCAAGCTGGCAGGACTTGCAGTCACCTTCCCCGTACCTTCCTGAGGAAAGGCGAGACCACCAGTGTTTGGCCTGGAGGACCCGAGGTTCAAGGAAATGAGCTCAAGAGAAGGCCTGAAGCTCATCCCTCAAATCCTCCCTCTGTTAGTCACTGTCCCTCTGAGTGAATGCAACTAACTGTGGGCTTAGGGTTTCTCTCTCTGCAGAAAAAGCCCCGGGCAAACCCCCACAGCAGAGAAAGTAGCTGTGTGGTTTTTATTAGCTTTGAGCATGAATTTTATTTAATATCTATGTGGCAGATTTATGGAGTCAATTTTGCTTCTACTTGAGTGAAAAATTCCCTGGAGGGGAGTGGTGATAATCTCACTGCTGAAACTGAAAATGAAATTTGTCCCTGCCTGGCTCCTGAGAGGCTGACCACAAAAGTGCAGTCCCAGAGTCCCTGGGATCTTGCCAAATCCTAGGTCAGAGTTACTCTCTTGGGATTCTCCAGAGAGTGACACATGGCAGTGGGGCTTCTTCTGGCCAATGGAACTCGGAGAAAGAATGGGGCCTGAGCATCCTACAGGGTGTAGCAGAGCATGGCCGCAGTTGCCATGGTGGCACTGTGTGTGAGTGCTCACTGAGGGAGACTAATAGCAGAAGATGTTGGGAAAATACTGGTAATTAGGGTTGTAGCTCCACAGGTTTCTCTTCAGGCAATAGGCAAGCTTCTGGTCACAGGAGCAGAGCTGCATTGGGCACAGAGACCCGATGTCTGCAAAAGGGACACCAAATACAGAAGGGGGATGAGAAGGATGTCCTTGGTCCACCTTGACTTGCTCAAAGTCAAGTCTGAGGACTGACCTCAAGCCTGTGCAGATGCTCTGTCTAGTTCCTGTGCAAGACAGCTCCTAAACTGAGAGAGGGGACTCATGATCTGATGGAGGATGCACAGTGGTGGTGGCTGTTCAGGATAAGGCTTTAGTCTAGGGAGACAGACTTCTCCTGTCCTCAGGATGCAGGAAACAGACCCCCTCCCCGGGGTGCTCCCAGCCTGAGGATAGAAGCAGCCTCAGCTCAGAAGGAACTAATTCTCTTAGACAAGATGATATCCCCAGGTTTAGCTTGGAAATCCGATGACCCGGGTTTGAATCCTGCCTCTCACTGGCAGGCTTTGAGCTTTGTGTTTCCCATGTGTGAAATGAGGGAGATTAAACCTACACCATAGGTCACTGGGGCAGAGCAAGCAAAAGCATTTGCGTCCAGTGAGTGCTCAGTCTGACACACACCAGCCCGTTCCCAAAGGTCGCATATGGCTGTGAAAATCTTGGCTCTTTTGTCCTCAGATCTGTTCCCCGAGGGATACAGGCAGCTGACCTCAGAGGCAGACCTGAACTGGAAGACCGATCTTACCGCAGGTGACCAGGCCCCGTCTGACTCGGTAGGTGTAGTACTGTGCTCGGATGTCACAGCCTTCTTCCTCCAGCTTCCCATAGCAACGGTCATGCATCCAACAGCACCTACCAATGCAAGGGGACCTGGGCTTCAGTGGGAGGGGTACCTTCTTGACTCCTCAGTTCAGTGAAAGATAACAAGATGAAATTGTTTTTGTCGAGTCTAAACAAAATGAGAGCCAGGAACTAGGCAGTAGTGGTGGTGGTCGGGAGTGCCTGCTTGCCTGCCTGAGATAAGCACTTTCTCAGGGACTATTTAAAGCCCTACTAGGGATAACTGTTGTCCTATATGCACCCTGTGCTTTGCACAGCTTGCAAAGCATCCATACATTACTGGAATAAAGTGTATCTTTAACATTCTTTAAGACTATGACAATTCAGACGAGTTACTCTCCACAGAGCCCAGCAACAGCACCTCCACCAATGAGCTAGTGCCAACTTCTTCCTCCGGTCTCCAGGGCCAATGAGCGTTGTCTCTAAGCAGATAGTGTAAATTTCTCCCTTGGCTGCTAAACATCTCGTTTCCACCTCCTTGAATACACTTTCATTTTCATTGCAATGTTCTGCTGTCCCCAAATTAATATTATTTTTATTGGAGATGCTCTCTCTCTGATTGTTATATAGGTTGATATTCTGAATAGGTGCAAAAACCCAACCATGCCTTTTTAGTAGAGGCCACCTTAGTGGGTGTGGGTGGACAGAGGTAGGATCTGGTAATATGACTCTGTACTGACCTCTCTTTGACTAAGGCTGCCACTGACCAGCTTTTTCCTCATGAATTAGACTACAGTTCCCAGACTCTCTTGCAGGTGGGTAAAGTCAGGTGCCTAGACTGTGTGGCCAGGGCACTCTGGGCAGAAGACATGTACACTGCTTCCCAATCTACCACAAAACCTCCCCACCTTGTCTTCTCCTTCCTCCCTTTCTCCATCTCTCATCTGGATGGAGATGACACAACAGAGGACTTGGGGCAGAGTGAATCACTGGGTCACAACATGGGAGGAGCCTAGCTCCCTCAATCAACTTTCCTCGAGGGATTGTATCAGCACAGTACCACCCTCTAGTATGGTGGGAGTGGTAAACTGCATTTACATGTTTTTAAATTTATAGATGAGTTCCCCCAGGAGAAGCACCCAGTTTCCCTTATTGTTAGCATTCTTGTATTAAGAGTAGAGAGGCAGGAGATTAGGGTGTGGCAAACCGGCTGTGCAGGTGAGCATGACCTGTCAATCACAGCCACCACATATGGCAGAACAGCTGCCAAGCTGCATCTGATGCCCGTGGGAGAATGCTGTTTTCAGTTCTTCTGGCAAAGATCAAGTGAGCTTTTAAGAGGCAGGCCGAGACCTGGCATCAGAATGGGGATGTAAAAGATGGCAGCCCATGGCCTCGGGCCCACAACCTTCTTTTTTTTTCCCTCCAAAGACCCACTCGGCATGCAGAGCATATTTTATTTTTCCAAACTCATCTGCAGAGCACTTTTTTCTCAGAGTCCTTCGGCTCCCTGATTTATTCCTTACTTTTACTTTTAATCCCTACATTTACTTTTAATAAATGTAACCTGGGCATGGTGGTGCATACCTGTAATCCCAGCACTTGGGAGGCGGAAGCAAGAGGATCACCATGAGTTCAAGGCTAGACTGGGCTACACAGTGAGTTCAAGGCCAGCCTGAGCTACACAGTGAGACCCTGTCTCAAAAAAAAAAAAAAAAAAAAGCAGGAAGTTTGTTTCTATATTAACCTGGATATATTCACACATATTTCTATTTCTGTATGTGACGATCTATATTTATACTAAGCTAAAGAGGAATTCATACTGATGTCTTCAACACTAATCCACTGAGTCATGCAAGATCCCTGTTGATTGTCTGAAAATCCCACTCTAAAAGCAAGGAACCTGGCTCTAATCACCTGCCATCCATTTGTCTAATTATGACACTTCTTTTCATTATGTACATTTAGCAGTATCAGAATTGTTAACCCAATAGGTTGTTTGCCAGGGTAAAATACTTGCCACCTCACATGTCCTTCTAGAACTGTCGACATTTTCCAATCAAGAGGTAGGAAAAATAAAAAGAGGTGGAATCTAAGTCCCCTCCCTCTTTCTGTTTTTCATTGCCACAAAGTAACAGTACATGTTTATGGAAGACAGTGTGGTAATTTGATATAATTAGCATTTCTTGTCTTTTCAAACACATCTTTCTTTGTTGTGAGACCATTAAACCTCACCTCACCTTGCTGTTTTGAAATATTTATACATTATTGACTAAGGTCACTCTATACGTAACAGATTGACCATAGTTACTCTTCTTTCCTAATTTTTGTACCCACTGATTAACCTAAGTCTCCTTCTTAAAACCTCTATATTTGTTTCAACCAAGAGGACAATGGTAAGCCACACTGGAATTTCTGAGGTTGATGATAAAATTGCCTTTCTCTCTTATCTGACAGTTTGGGAACATATGATCTTAGAACTCAACAGTTACCATGCTGCAGGGAGTCTAAATGTCCTCAGAGAATCTGCAGTGAGAGGAAATGAGGCCTCTAGCCAGGATACAGGGGCAATAATCCGCCAGCCATAGAAGTGAGCCATGCAAAAGTGGATCATCCATCTCCACGCAAGAACCCAAGCCAAAACTGAGTGGCACAGAGATAAACCATCCCACCACATCCCATCCAAGGGACAAATACACAAGCAAAATAAATGACTGTGACTGTTTTAAAGCACTGTAGCAGTAACATTTGTGAGGATGCAATAAATCAAGTGACTCATCAGGCATGGAGATCTTGGGGTTGTCTGGGAATTACTTGCATATATTACCAAGTCGGTTCCTGTGAAACTCAGTTTTCTCAAGTGTAAAAAGGTGTTTTAATACCTCTAGAACTGACGAGGAATTGGATGAGATGATGTGGGTGCAGAACCTGGAGCATCAAAAGGTAATTATGAAAATCAGCTCACCAATCAGTGGGATCCTTGGGGACCCCGTGGCCACCCAGGCCACAGTAGCAGCCATAGAAACCATAGTCCATCAGGGCATTCTTTCCAGTCACCTCCTCGATCATGGACTTCAGTTCGAGCAAGCCCCCTGTCACGACAGACACACCTGCAAGACAGCCCGTGTCCCTGGGTGACCCTGGGTGGCTGCTGCAGGCCCATTTCTCAGAATCTCCTGCCCTTTTACCTGACTCTCTTTCTTTCTCCCAGTTAGTAGAAGGGGAGCAAGGAGGTGAGGGCAAGCAGTATAGAGAAGTGGGTAAGGATTTAGACTCGGAAAAGGAGCAGACAACGGTTCAAATCTTGGCCCTGTCACTAATCTGAAGTATGGTGAACAGGCCACTTACGCTCTGAGCCTTAAATCTGGGAAATAGGGGCCCAAAGTTAGCACCCACTTTCTGGAGTTACTGTGAAGGTTAAAATAAGACAGTATATAAATTCTGAGCACAGTGGCAGACCCATTAAAGGGTCAGACAGAGAAATACTCAGTACAGTGCACAGGGAAGCAGGCAGAGACATGGGAGGCTCCTGTTCCTCCCAGCAATATACTCCTTTCTCCCCTTGCCTAAGACCTTTTAGAGTGTAGATTATGAGGTCTTAGATCAGCAGTCACTGACATCATCAGTTCCCTCATCTTAAAAGTTGGGAAACTGAGGTTCCCTCTGAGGCTGGAGGTTTCCTTGCAGGCCCAAGGTGCTCTCCCTGCACTGTGTCTGGTTCCACCTGGGGATTCCAAAAACCTGGCAAGACATCAGAGCGCAGGCCAGCTGTGGGGAGAGAGGTTGTATGCAGGGTGACAGGGCTGCAGCAGGGGAGGCTAAAGCCAGGGACAGTCACCGCCTCACTGGGAAGTGGCCAGTGGCAGGGTATGTAGAAGGCCTGAGCAGACAGTAATCTGGGAATCATGTGGAGGAATATTTTGATACAGAGCTTATGTTCCATTTTGAAGTCACTGTTTTGTTTTGCATTGCAGGAAAAATTCACTCCCAGATTTTTAAGCTACATGTTTTGATGTTCGAAATCTGACATACAGCATCCGGACCTGCCAGAGCCATGCCCGGCTGCAGTGCTACCCTATCTCAGATGAAGAATCCAAGGCTCAGGGAGACGAAGGCCCCTGCTGCTGTTTATGTCTACATGGTTAAGTGCAGGGCGAGGCTCAAATGCCAGCCTCTGTGACCTCGAGGTCTGGTCTCCTTCCCACTGCCCTATCCCTCCCATGGGGTGGAAGCTCACTCAGAGATCATGGGTCCAGCACTTACTGTAAGCCAGGAGCCAAGCCAATGTGAGGAAGCCTTTCATCTCTGGGGCTCTGGAAAAAGAAAACACATCCATGCTATGTCTTCCAGCTATTAACCCCAAGGCCCATTCAGACCCCACCAGCTCTGTACCCAGCCTCCCTATTCTGCTGCTCTCCCACGCTGGGCAAAAATGAAGAGAGAAGCGGCAAAGGCCATTAGGTCCAGTGGGGGGCTCTGGAAACATTCTGGGGATACCATCCCCACCAAAGGTGGAACTCACCCAATAAGAGTGCTTCCAGCCACAAATGCTCAGACATACTGGCCCACGGCAGAAGATGTCTAAATGATCCAGAGAAACAGGTGGGGCTCTTCAATGGCATGAATTGAAGGACAGGGACTGACATAACCTATATGAGCCATGGATGAGAGGTGAAAGAAGCTGCAGGGAGAGAAGAGGCCTGGACATGGCGTGGTTGCCATTGGGGGTGGACGGGCCACAACGAGCTGGGGTTTGCATCAGTGTCCCCTGATCACGTGGTGCTACAGCCGCCTACTTTCAAGGCTCTCTCCAGCAGGTCCTCTGGAGGCAGATGCTGGTCACTCAGCCCCTGTTCCAAAATTGAGAACACTGCCCACCCAGAATGGGTGCTCTGGAAGTGGGACCCAAGTACCCATCATGAACTACCTTTCAAGGGCTCCTATGGCTTTTGTGCCCCTTTATCTCTCTGTCCGTCTGTCTCTATCTCTCTCTCTCTTAAACGCACACGCAAATGTATATTTATATGTTTTATATAAATGTGTGTGCGTCAAATACATTTATAGTTGACAGTTGTGTTGGTACAAAGTCAAAAATAAATCAAGCTGGACTCATTATTACATAATCATTATTATTATGGTTATGTATTCTCCTGAATTTAAAAGAATTTAAAAATGACACCGTTCCCTAAGGCACCCAGTGTAATGTCCAACTGAAGAGTAAGTGGACCCCAGGCCTCATGACAGCACTGTCAGAACCACTATCCCCCTCTTTCAGGGGAAACTGAGGCTCAGAGACTGCCGGGAACTTTCCAGAGGCCACATAGCCAATAAGAAGCAGAGGCTGGACTGAAACCCAGGCCTTGTACCCTTTAGCATACAGCCGAAGCTTCCCCTCTAGAGGGACAAATTCTCTCCACCAGGGCTGGGTTTCTTCCCTCCTAAGAATCTGTCTTTGACAAAAACACCCATCACTGGTCTGGAGACCACAAGCAATCACAGCCAGAAGCTAGGAAATTCTGAGCTGCAGGCTGCTACCTGGCTCTAATTTGGTCTCTTAGTGATTCCATACCCACAGCGGCCTGCTTCTGGACCCTCCTAGCATCCCAAAGTCCCTGTTTATCCACAGTTTCTCAATTTTCCTGTGGTTTCCAGAACTTCCCCTCTGGTGCTGTGAAGTCTCAATGAAGTTGAGGGGTCTCTCGTGCCAGTGCCCTTCCTGAGCCCCTGGCACCTTTGAAGGCCTGGCCTTCAAACACACTGCTTCACACTCTCTGGAGTTCCAGTGCTGGCCTTTGTCCAGCAGCTCTTTCACGTTCCAAGAACATTCCAGAAGATTCTGTCCACCCACAGCTCTTGCTCTACACAACCAAGGAAAAGACCCCACGGTCCATACCAGTCTTTCTCTGTCGCTTCCCAGAGCTGTCACAGGGCAAAAATGCCATCCACACTCACTGGTTACCTCCAAGGTGCCAGGTACGATCCATTGTTTCTTTAAAACCTCCAGTGACCTCAACAGGCAGATAATGTTAAGCCTGCCATTGGTTCCCTTATATGAATGAATGAATAACAGTTGTAGATGCTACAGATCCTGCAAATTGCAGCTCACACAGATGAAATGGATTTCTCACAAGTTTGGCCCAGTCCTGTGCATTTCCTCCTTTGACTGATGGACCACTCTACTGCCTCTGAGCAACCCCCGGGCATCAAGTATGTTTTGTGTTTTTTATCTTCTTTGATGCTTGGACAGCTTGGGGATCTTCCTAACCAGAAAGAGACTGCCCTTCCTAGGGTTTGCTAATACCGAGACCTCAGATGATTCCTTTGGGAACATGCCTTACCCACCATGCGAACCAACGAATCCGAAACTTTTATCCAGGTCTATCTAAACTCTCACATGCTGGGCTGTGTTGGGAGCGCTCAACCCCTAGGGTCAGGTTCAGGACAACCAGGGAAGCCTGAATAGCAGGAGGGATTCAAACTAGCCACTCCTAAGCCACCTGCCCCACTGTGCTTTTCATTCACAAGTCACAGTAAAGGCTCTTGGGTGCTCATTCTGCTCATCTTCTGCATCCTCACCCATGGCCCTGCCCCATGTGACCCTGGGTAGAGTGCCGGTCCTTTTTTCCTGTGTCTATAAATAACAGACTCTTACATGGCAATCTTTTTCTGATCTGTTGGCCCACCAAACCTGAATAAACCAGCACCCAGGCTGGTTGAGAAACTGTGGATAAACAGGGACTTTGGGACGCTAGGAGGGTCCAGAAGCAGGCCACTGTGGGTATGGAATCACTAAGAGGCCAAATGCAGAGCTCCCTGGACTGTCACCGTCAGTAGGGGGCAGCAGCCAGAGGCCCCATCAGACAGCCTGGGAAGAGCAATATAAGTTCCATGGACCAGTGGTGGAGGCAACATAAACAGCTGCCTGGTATCCTAGACCGCTGCCAGGGCCCAGAGCAGCCCCCCAGGAGAAGGATGCGGCCTTGGCTATTTTTATCAAATGACCACAGAGAGGAACAAGAATGACCACAAGTTAATTCCAGAGTGGCGCGGTGGCTGCAGTAATGAGGAAGTGGAGAGCATAAAGATAGACAGATGGAAACACAAAGACAGACACAGAGGCCGGAAGCAGCCTGGTAACAGAGGGCACAGGGGCTCCAAGTCCACACGGAGGAGGAGACCCTCAGTTCATGTCCCGCAGGCTGAGAAGGATCAGCAGCACCAAGTCCCACCATTACAGACGGTCACAGAGACCTCTCGGAAATTAACGAAGGAAGCAGCCAGGCCTGCCCATTCCCGGCCCCGGCTGTCCCCGCTGAATGGCCAAGAGGCTCCTCTAGTGGCCTCTCTCCAGCCTTGCTCCTTGCACCCCCTCTAGGTAAAGGCAGCCCCAAGAACAAGATGCTTACCAATGAGCCCTCTGGGTCCTCAGGCCTGGGAAGAGGCAGTGGCCGGCCAGCCTGGTTTTAAGTGACTGTGTCCGCCTCCCACACTCCTGCCAGGAGCGGCTCCAAGATTCCTGGCAACTGGCATAGGAAACTACTCCCCCAGCTCCCTAGACCCCTGGGGATTTTCAGCCCCGGTATTCAGAAGCAGCTATTTCTTGTAGCAGGTCACAGTCCTGTGCCTGTCAGGACAGACACCCAGGAGAGTCTGGCTTGAGCCACGCATGGTCCAGGGCTCTTCCCCAGGGACAGAGGTCTAGAATCCTCTTCCTGCTCCACAGCAGGTCCTGGAGGAGTCCCTCTGCCCTGGCTCCTGTGGTTTTCCAGCTCTCGGTGCCTGCTTCTGTTTCATTCTGTGTCTCCCAGCCTCAACCCAAGGGCAGCCGTGGGAGCCAGGCAGCACCCGCCACCCTCATCCTCTTCCTGCTTTTCCTAAGCTACCAGCTCTAACTTTCTTAAACGTATAAAACCCTCTCTGGAGATACTGTGACATGTTACCTCCCCATGTCTAGCTGGTCTTTCTGGTCTAGGTCACTAATGAATTGGGAAACCATTAAGCTTGTGGGTAGAGAGATGCAAGTTGTCGTTCCAGCTCAGCAACTCAGTAGCTTTGTGACCCTGGACAAGTCACTACACATCTCTGTTTTCCCACATAAAACACGGAAAGAAGATCCTCTTCTCTCTAGTGTGGTGAGAAGATCCTGGTAAGAAACTAAAGCATATGTAATAACATAGGTTAGAGAAACATGTGCCTCAGTGGGTAACATCACAGGCCTAAGTCCCGGGTTCAAATTCTGGCTCCCCCACTACTAATTCATCACTTTAAGTAATTTGCCTGCCTCTGAGTTGTTAGCATTCAATGAATTAGTGCATGCGTAACACTTAGACCAGTAGTAAATGAAGAACAATGCTAATAAAGAAGTGATCACTAACCTCTTGTGGGCTCCTCACAGGACACAGGGACTATTACTATTCTCCATTCTCCAGTTCCCTTTTCCCCAGCCCCCCACCCCATATCTTTCTGGGAAGATTTGGGGGTGAACTTCAGCCTCTTTTCACTGCTGACTCTGTCTCCCTCCTCCTGTCCTGGCAGCATCAGAGAGGAGCCCTCCTGTGGACCCGGTGAGTACCTCTCTCCTTGGGACCTAAACACTGAGCTCCCTGAGGGGCCCTGTGAACTCAATTCAGTGCAAAAAAACATCAACCTAGTGTCCAGCACACACTGGGCATGGGACAAACGCCATGAAGGCACTGAAGACATGCACACACCGTCCAGCAGTGACCAGTGCTTTGGGCGAATCCTCTCTGCTATCACTATTTCTCCTTTTCACCCAATTCCCCTGTCTGCCTCCAAGTACTCCCCTCGCCATGCTGACAGACAACGCGAGCCAAAAATTTAAACAGTAGATTCAAAACCCCCTCCCCTCCTTGCCTCTCATGACCTCTTTCTCCAGCTTTCATTCTGCTCTGAAAGCCAACTTTGGGCACAGAGAGGCCCCTACTTCTGCCCCGCTCGCTCCTGACCCTTTATGGCTTCTGCTCTGGCATCGCTTGGAGGTTTGGGTTCTCAGTCTCTCAGGCTGTCTCACCTCCAAGCCCACCTCCTCCTCCCCCAAACTCTCTCCCAGTGCCCTTCGCAGAGCCCAGTGCCCACTGCCCACAGATACTTGCCCCTCCCTCTCCCCAGGGGCTGGTATTTGGTTTCTCTCAGGGATCTGTTCTCAGCAGGTGCCTTCTCTCTTTGCTCCGTCCTGGGTGAGCGCCTGGCATCCAGGAGCTCAGCCCTATTACTATGCAGGTATCTGGGCGGTGCATTAGGGTGGGCACCAGTTTTGACTCAGCAATAACACTCAATGAAAAAGCGAAGGGAGATAGGACTGAGGAGAGATGCCACGCTAGGACCAAGAACCCAAGCTTGTTGAATCTCTTTGAGTCTCAGTTTTCCCACTGTAAAGTAGAATAATCCCAGAGCCCACTTGTGATAATCCAGTGAGGTCAGACAGAGGGCGCCTGGCATCTCCTTGCTGTTGTTTGTGTCTTTCTAGGAGACTGAGAAGCCCATGAGGGTAAACATGGCATGCAGCACTTCGGTCCCCAGCCTGCCGGATATTCTAGCTAAGCGACCCTTGGGAACCTCAGAAGCAAATGCCTGAGCTCTCTTGGGTCCTAGTTCACCCTTCTCCAGTAAGAGATCCAGGCATCCACTCACACTTCCAAGATGAAAGACTGGGTTCCCTGACTGTTTCCACTCCCAGCAGAGCAGAAGACTGGTGTGTGTGGGGGTGTTAATTCTCCCATCATTTTTGGTTCTAGCATCCAAATCAATGCCTCACTCATAATAGGTCCTCGAGAAATATTTGGGGATGAATTAAGCACCCCACAAACATCTCTTTTTCTATGACACTAGCTGGGTCTATGGTTGGGTTCTGGGATTGAAGCCCCCACCTAGGGCAGCCATAGAAACCTTGACAGTCTCGCCCATGCACCTGAGGTCCTGCTGAGATACCCCAAGCCTCCTCAGTGGCTTGTGTCCCCTGACTTCATGAAGCTGGTACCAAGGGCAGGAGTGTCTGGCACGCCCAGGTAGAACATCCACTTCCACTTCTCCTTCTTCTCCTCCTTCTTCTTCACCTTCCCCTCCTCCTCCTCCTCCTCCTCCCCCTTCAGAAGGAAAGAGAAGGACCCAGGACTCAGGGAGCATCGTCTATGGCACAGGGGCAGGGCAAGTCCTGCATTTGTGATTTCCTTAATCCTCATAAAGTCTGGAGAGGCATTAGGTAAGCAGACTGAGAGGTAGGAGCAAGTAGTGTGTCTGAGGTCACACAGCTAGCAGAGGGAAGACACAAAACTGTCAGCCTAACCCACCTGTCACCCAATCCATGTTCTGCTGTCACACAGAGAGGCTGGGGATTGTGATTTTCACCAGACTCCTGACCAATGGGTCATGTGATTTCCTTTCAGCAAATGGAGAGGTGAAATGGTACAATCATCGCTGATTGATGAGATCGTGGGGCTTAACTCATTGCTTGATGCGTGGAATTAGATTTGGTTATAAACGTTCATCCCAGGGCTATGAGAACCCACAGGAAAGATTTGGCTTAGTCTTCTTAGCACTTTTAAAAAGTAATCTGTCATTCAATGCAATCCCAATTCCATCAACATACCTTATAGATCTAGAGAAATCACTCCTAAATTTCATCTGGAACCAGAAGAGACCTAGAATCGCAAAGGCAATTCTAAGCAGCAAAGACAAAGCAGGAGGCATCACAATCCCTGACTTGAAGTTATACTACAAAGCAACAGTAGTAAAATCAACATGGTATTGGAATCAAAACAGAGCCGAAGATCAGTGGAATAGATTAGAAGATACAACCACAACTACGAACACACTCAACCACCTTATCTTTGATAAAGGAGCCAAGCAGGTTCACTGGAAGAACGACAGTCTCTTTAATAAATGGTGCTGGAAAAACTGGCTCTCCATTTGCCGAAAACTAAAGCTAGACCCATGTCTATCACCATGTACTAAATTAAAATCTAAATGGGTCAAAGATCTGAATATTAAAACAGAAACACTAAATCTATTGGAAGACAAATTAGGTAGAAACCTTGGAGACATAGGAGTAGGTAAAGAATTCATGAACAGGACTCAAACCGCACGGGAAATACTTCCCAGAATCAATAACTGGGACCACTTCTTATTAAAAAGTTTCTGCATGTCAAAAGAAATCTCCAGCATAGTGAAAAGAAAACCCACAAACTGGGAAAAGATTTTAGTGAACTCTCTCCCAGACAAGGGCCTCTTGTCTAAAACATATAAAGAATTAAAGAAACTCAGACCTCCAAAATTCAAAGATCCAATCCAAAAATGGGCATCTGAGATGAATACGCAATTCTCAGATGAAGAAATGCAAATGGCAAATAAATACATGAAAAAATGCTCATCATCATTGGTCATTAGAGAAATGCAAATTAAAACCACACTGAGATACCATCTCACTCCTGAAAGAATGGCCAGGATCAAGAAAACCAACAACAACAAATGCTGGAGAGGCTGTGGGGAAAAAGGAACTCTCCTGCACTGTTGGTGGGAGTGTAGACTGGTACAGCCTTTGTGGAGATCTGTCTGGAGATTTCTCAAAAAGTTGGGACTGGAAATCCCATTTATTCCAGCTATTCCACTTCTAGGCATATTCCCAGAAGAACTGAAAGCATTATACCACAGTGATATATGTGCACCTATGTTTATAGCAGCACAATTTGTAATCGCCAGATCTTGGAAACAACCCAAGTGTCCATCAACTGAGGAATGGATAAAAAAGTTGTGGTATTTCTATACAATGGAGTATTATTCAGCTATAAAGAAGGATCACATTGAGATATTTATCAATAAATGGGCGCAGCTTGAGACCATACTCATAAGTGAAATAAATCAATCTCGCATGTGTGAATACCGAATAGTTTCCCTAATCTAAGTAATGATTCAAATATATAAAAATATGTGGTAATCATGATTCCCCATTAGGTGGCCTTGGAGCCTTATAAAGTTTTCACTCATTAATTAGAAAGGCTTTATTCTGGGCTTCTTGATTTGAAAATATTTGAAGCTAGAGTATATGAAGTTTTATCCAAATATATCAAGGAAAAAGACACTATGGTAACTACTATTAAGTCAGGTTATATGGTGGTGAAGTACTAGGTTGTTGAAACAGTCATGCTGTGACCTCTATTGTTATATTGTTATGTCCTGTTTTATCTCAATCTCCCCCTTATTGTTTTAAAAGAATTATTTAGTCATTTCTTATGTTTGTCTTAAAGAAAAAATTCAAAAAATTAGGATATATAAATAGTAACTCTTTTTGATTTCCTATTAACTTGTTTTGAAGTCCTGTAGTACTCCCATGATCTTGTTTTGACTGATTAGACTCTGTTCCATTCTATATGGTAGTATCAAGTTTGAAGACATAGGCAACTACTTTGAAGACAATAAGATTCACTAAGATACCCATTCTGGTTTGACTATTGTCTTCTTTGGAAGTCCTGTAATGTTTACAATGCCTAAGTTTTATTGGTCTTGTTCTCTACTGTTTTGTCCAACTTTATAATATCTAATGAGATAGACAATTCTTTTTAAGGAAACAAGGGACAACGTTGATAACCATTGTTGATAAACTTGTACTCTGTTCTACATCATGTGCTATGTCTATCCTTGGTATTGACTGACAGCTTTGTTTTGCCATATTTGACTGTATTCTTCCCCCCCACCCAAAAAACAAAAAACAAAAACAAAAACAAAAAAAAGTAATCTGTCGCCTATACCTAAAAGTTAAGAGATTGTAGGAATCTAAACTTCCAACTTCTTCTTAAAAGATCTGCAACCATGTGTTGGCTCTGGGTTCCTTTGTGACCACTGCAGAAGCATTGCTTAGTTTTACACGGCTCCTCACTGCTCCTTATTGACCTTGCTTAGTAAGATCTCTAGTGGCCTGCTAAGAAACCCAGTCCCTGGCCTTAACCCTGAACACATTTACCAGTGTCCTGGTTACTTTTCTCTAGTTGCTGGGACAAAATATTCAACACCTAAAATTAAAGAATGAAAGTTTTATTTGGCTTACGGTTTGTAGAGCTTTCAATTCATAATCAGCTGGCTCCAAGGCAGGATGGCACAGCACAGGGACAACACTTCAAGGTGGCAGAAGACAGTAAAAGCAGCAAGAGCAAAAGAATGGGACAAAAAGCCTCTTTTTATCCCTTAAATTGTAAGCAGAACACCACCCCCTAGGGTGGGTGTTGCACTTTACCATCTCCCTGACCTCCTCTTGCACAGGTTCAGGGTGTTTACAAAGTGAACACCCTGGCTCCTGGATGAGCGGCTTAATCTTCTAAACTTCTCAAGCTGACACAGTATATCAACCATAACAACCAATGATGGAGCACCAAACTCCTTGAGAGCAGAGATGATCTCTTTAGCAAGTTTTAATCTCAGAACTTAGTATGTAGTAGCTGCATAATAAATTGTGTGTGTGTGTGTGTGTGTGTGTGTGTGTGTGTGTGTGTGTATTAGGACTGCCCATTCCAGGCTGAAGGGGTCACTAGAAGAAGGGGTCCCTGTAACTTAAACTTGAATAGGCTGAGAATGTAAGGAAGTGTTCCTTCTATGCAGAAGGAACACTCTATGCAGGACCCATGGACACAGGTTACAACAACTCATTCAGGGATCTACAGATTAGTGTAGCTCAGATGTATGCAGTGATACGCTAACCACCATGTGTTATTCCATCATGCAGAATCATAATAACTGATTCTCTGGGGGCAAAAGGCCCT